TATATATATATACACACACTGTTTGGCTAAAAGTACAATCATTTTCTGCCTGCCCTGAAGGCTATTCCTTCTGCCATGCTCTTGATCAAGAGACACGTGCCATAGGAACGGGGAGGTATAGCAGTGGCCATGGTCAATGCCGCTGGAAGGAGCTTTCGGATCACAAGACTCTGTGTCCCTTCTTAAGGAAAAAATATGCCAACCACCCATGGAAAGACTGTGATGCTTTTCTCCTTTGTTTTCTTTGAAAACAACTGTACCAAATATCTGTTCATTTAAACACGGTTTGCCCTCAGTCTACCATTAAGATAACTTAACCATTGCTTGGAAAACAAAGAGACCCGTGAGGTAAGCAAATCACACCCAATCCTGGAACAGAAAACTGTGAATATTAATATTACCAGTCAGACATCCTTGAGTACAATATTCCCAAGAGATAATTTGATTTTTTAATATTCCCTGATGTAAATATAAATAAAAAGATGCACTGGAAGGCACGAAAATGGTACTCAAAGGCAAGATGTTGAATTCCATCAGCGTGTCCGGCGCCCACGCTCGGGCGAGCAGCGCCACTAGTGGACGCGCACCTGGGGAGCCTGCAGCGCGGGTCGAGCGCCGCAAACGGCACAGCTCGGCGCGAGGCAGAAAGGGGGAAATACGGAGGGGACCGGGGCAGAAAGGGCTATAAAATACCGTGATGAACGCTAATATAAATGACGGGCTATAACTTCCCTGCTTTATTTTTCTGACAAATTGTCTGTAGTGTTTTCACTGTACACGCTCATCTAGAAACAGACTGAACCGTACGTACACCTGTAAAATCTACGGTTGGTGGTTTTCTTGTGTGTCAGTTGTATCGCTGTTACTCGGGACATGTCGAGTGTGCTAGTTAGGTGGTAAATTTATAGCATAGACTATAACTAGATCCCCTAAACACCTTCCCTTAGAAAAACAAAAGGAAATATAAGAGCAACGAGAGACGCCGGAACCCGGGGTCTGTTGTGTTGAGTCAACGAGCCGAGCTTTCCAAAGCACCTGCCCCCGGGCCAGGCCGGCCTGCTAGAAACACCCTCATAATTAGTACATCGTTTATTTTGTGCCCCTTGCGCTTGGTTTCTATTTCCCCATCGTATGTAACCTTTCTGAAAGCAAACATTTTATATCTCTACTTTTTCTGGTACTAATTTTGGGGGGATATTTAGGTTTGGTCATTTATTCATTATTTCTACAACGTATTGCAGTGTTTCAAGATTCACTATTTTTTTTCTTTTGTTTTCGCTTTTTCCTTTACATGGTAATCTCCATTGGTTTTGTTCCCCCGGATATGGGTTCTGACCCTCCCCCCCTTATTACAGAGTGGGAGGGGCTAATAGCTATTAGTAGATATTTCCCTTCTAGAATCCGAACTAGCTTTTAAAGCCTGTTTCCCTCCCCTAATGTATAAATATTTTAATAACAGTGTATCTGTTATTTCCCAAGTGAGCCCTGAGGAGCCTGCCTGGTGGCCTGGCACAGGCCATTCCAGGAGGACGGCCCTCTCGGGCACTGACACAGTGGGGCCTGCAGCTGCCACCTCTCCCGAGCCCCAGTGGTTTTAGGTGAGCCCCCCATGGCAGGCTCCCCGTCCCCGAACCAGCGAGAGTGATGCCTTCTGCAAGGGCCCTCAATCCCTTTGCTGAACTTGCACTGTGTTGTCCTTTGCTTACTCGGTCGGAAGCTAGCCTGGGACAAAAAACGAGCCACCAGAGGAGAGTGCTGTGCCCAAGGTTGTCATGGCACTCGATCAGCGTCAGCTCTGCATTAATCATTAGGCCGGGGCCCAATCTTTATGTTGGCAATGAAACAGCATAGTCAAAACCAGTTATTTCCATGAAATGACTGCAAGGGCTGAAACCAACCTTGCAGATGGATGCCCTCCCCCTTCGGATGTCGCAGGTGATTGAAAACCGGCGCCCTTTGTGTTGCTTGAGAGACTCCGTTCTTGTTGTGGCCTCACCTACCGATTCAAGAACTATGCTTGACACATGCTTTTAAAAATCTAATTAAAACTTTCTTTCTGGTCCTTAGGTAGAAAGATGGCTCTGCTGAGATGAGCTCTTAATTAATGCACTGAGAGCTCCGAGTCCCACCTCTCAACAGGAATGATTGACGTCCAAGGATACATAAATTACACTAATTGAGCTCTGCCTCTGTTATTGCCACAGCCAACTCATCAGAGAAGCGAGGTGAGTAGACCAGCGTCGGAAGTTGTTTCAGTGAGCTCTGCGCTGTCCCAGAGGGCGGGGGGGAACTTTCCGGACCGTGACATACTTACCGTCGCAGAAGGCAGGGTTTTCCTTCGGTTTTAAGATGTAGGTTTTGTGTTATAGCTTTTCTTTTATTTTAAAAATTAGCATTTTTGACATAGCCATTGAAATCTAAGTAACCACAGTCTCTTCACAGTTTTTAAGCAGCAGATACTGCAAGCCAAGTAGAGTAGGTATAAATCACTTGGCATCAGTTATTGATATTCAGTTGCATTGCGTAGCAACCAAAGTATATGTTAGGAGGGATTGTTTGAAATCAAGTCCAACGTTAGTTTCTGAGTTTAGTTTTCAGAAACTTACCTAATTGTAAATGTACCCAGCCTCACCAAAGATCATACTGAAATATTTGTTTTATATTTATTTCATTCTGAAAGAAATTTATAGATATTCTGAGACCCTGACTTTCATAAAATCTAATTAATCATTTCATATCATCGAGGTTGTTTATTAGCCTAAAATATAATTCAAAGACAGGGCTATTTATTAAAAATGAAGACAAGTATACAATATCAAGTAGCTTCATTTATATCTTACAGTTTTTATTCACAGATTTTTTAAATGCTTTAACAATTATGAAAAACCCAGTTTCAAATATTTTCAAGGAAAATATTAAAAATAGGGGAATTTCAAGATATTAAATTATTTACTTAAAATATGTTTTATTCAGAAAAAATATAAATAGGGCTTGAGTTTACTATGTAAAGTATTAAAAGAAAGGCCACAGAGAAAAGTGGATTAAGAAATTATGGAGCATAAAGGTGATATATCAAAACCAATAGAAGTGGGAAAGCAGATAGCGAGAACAAGAGGAAAAAAAGCCAAACAGTAGAAATACTGTGGTAGGTTTAAAAATAATAAAGCACCAAACTTAAGCATTCCAAGCAATTGGAACTGGCCAAAAATAGAGGTAAGGTGGTAGAAGTAAGCAGAGCTAGAGTCGCAAAATATTTAGGGGAACCGCCATGTCCTAGTAAAAAAATTATTTAAAAATGATTTTTTTAAAGACTTTGGATCCCTGAAATAACATGTGGGTCCCACACGTTCCACCCCAGTGCACTTGGCTGTGCCCACTAATTCAAACTGTGGAAAATGCAGAGCCCCGAAAAGGAAAATCATAAGATGGCTACGGATCTATCAAAATGGCTTTATTATTACCTGTGAGAAAACCCTAAGCGGAGAAACATTGAGAGAGATGAGAAAATCCTGAGCTGATAATCTGGCAAAACATACAAAAGGCTTTTAACATCAAGACTATCTCGCTATGACTAAAAGGAAGTAGAAAGGAAACAGGTTTGTGTGGGTTTTTTACTGTGAGATCCTTTCATTATTTGGTGGCTAACAGTATCCAATATAATGTAGCAAAGCCATTGGAATGTAAGTAATAGAACATTTTCTGTTTAAAAAATTACTTAGGGGTAATGAGCATGAAACATGCACCTCAGAAAGCCTGTTTTCATTTTTATTTTCTGCACTTTCTGAGTTCACACTACGAGCTTTCATCATATCCTCTGTGTTCAGCAAGGTGGCTCCTAAGAAATTATGCTTGAAATGACCTAACTCTATTTATACCTCTTGAGAATTTTTGTATTTAATAATCTTGAAAAGGCAAGTTTCACTGTGTGTTTCATTATTATCGTATCTGTAGAAATGTTTATTTGTAGAAAAGGGAACCCTATGTTCAAAAATTAGAAGATGATTCTACTTGAATTCACATATTGTTAATGTGGGTAGCAGAAAACTCAACATACTTCAACAATACTACTGCATTGATGATACCTTTGGATTTAGATTGTTATAATGTATCTGAATTAGGACCAACTTGTGTCTCCCTCCATGCCTGCTGGGTAACCCAGATGCTCATGCTCGACAGAAAGCATGCACATGTCATTGTGCAGTGGAGCCCTGGCAGCGCCGTGATGAGCCAGGGCCACCCTGCCTCCAGTGGAACCATGAATATAAGAGCCTGTCTCTCAAGCTAATCAAATCAGCTCTTACTCTGGTCTGTTGGTGAATGTGGACCATCAGATCCAAGTTTTCAGTTTCTACATTGTATCGCAATCATGGGCTTACTAGGTGATGAATGAATGAACCTGGTTGTACTGTGCACAGTGTAACAAAACCCCATATCCTCCTCTGTTCTTCCAATGGAGCGCTTATTATATGCTTATTTGCTTTGCTTATTTGATAGGCCTCTGATATTACTTTTATTGAGAATTTATATAATTCTTTAGATGTGGGACTCTTCGGTTAGTCAGACAATTCATTACTTCACTAGTGTTTGATCTCTGGGTTAACTGCTGGCTTATAACTTTAATAACAATTTTAAAAATTTTGCAGATATATTGAAAATAAAATTTAGTACCTTGTAAAAAACAGAAGTATATAGAAAAGACAAATGCCCTATAATATCCTGTAGTATCAGTGCTAAAATAATTTTTGTTATAACTTTAAATAACAGAAACCTATTATGTGCATGGTTAGGGAAAAATAGACATTCACAAAAGTCTCTCCCCTCTAAAATAATTAGTACTTACAATTTCTTCCATAAAAATGCATATTCCTTTAAATATCTATATATCATTTATGCACTCACTCAACAAATATGTATTTAGGGTTTTTTATGTACCAAGCACAATTTTTGGCGCCAGGGTTGTAACAGTGAGCAAAAGAGATTTTTAAAAAGCCTGGCCCTCAGAGGGCTTACATTCTTGTGGGCTGAAGGAAGCTATAAGCAGAATCTGTCCTGGCCCAGTGGCTCAGTTGGTTGGAGTATCGTCTCATACACCAAAAGGTCATGAGCGGCCTGCAAAGGGTGGCGGGACAGTGATGGGTGATTCAGCAGCGGCCTGCAAAGGGTGGCGGGGCAGTGATGGGTGATTCAGCAGCGGGGGAACTGAGGACGGGTAGTGGGGAGTTTGTAAGCGCTAATAAGGAAAGACAGGAGCATTTTCTTCTGCTGCTGCCAACTCCCCCCTATAGCTATTATCTACCCATCTTGCTCTACCTATGTGCCCCTGTGTCTCTCCTTACCTAGGGCACCACTGAGTAAGGGCAGGGGTGAATCTGGGTTGCCTGCCTTCCTCAAAGCCTAGGGAGGGGGCTGTGAAGAGATTCTAGTCACAGGTTTGTGGGTATCTCATGTGCCTTTTCCCATCTGCACGGTTTTGGGCACTAGGCTCAGTGTCCTGCCAGGCAGGGTACAGGATAAGTACCTTGGGAAGAAATGGCCTCGCAGGGACTGCCAGGTGGATCAGGGGTCACACCTGCGCCCACTCGAAGCCCGAGGTTTGGAAGATGGCTCCTCATAAGCCGTTGTGGACACACCGCCCTGTCTGTCTGTGTGCCTTTCTCTTTCCCGGCGATCATGCCTCTGGCCATCAACCTTCTTCCCTGCTCACTGGCTCATTCTTTTACTTATACAAAAGAGGTATTTACAGCTATTGTTTTACACGCTGCATTTTCCACCTTAATTTTACATATATTGGCACAGAGATATTCGCCACGTACTTTTAAACAGCTGCTTCCCCATGGACGTTCATTCAGTTAGCACGTTTTCCACTGACAAAGTCTTTAGTGGTTTCCAGTTCTTCCCTGATGCATACAATCCCGTAGTCTATTTCTCTATCTGTATATATATGTTTTGCTAGTGTACTCTTGAGGTAAATTGCCATCAGTGTGTCAAGGAGCATGTTCATTCCAAATTTATATACTGATGCAGCCATAACGACTTCGTGGTCCATGGCGGACCTCATATTTGACAGTGGCCCCATGTGATTGTCATGGAGCAGAAAAATTCCCATCACCTGACGATGTTGTCTGAGCACCACACCTTACTCACTCGTCCGTGTGATGCTGCTGTAAGTGAGCCTACTGCGCTGCCAGTCGTATAACAGTCTAGCACATACACCCTCGAGGTTTGTATACGGGCACCTATGATGTGCGCACGCAGTAATAAAATAGCATGGANTGTAAGTGAGCCTACTGCGCTGCCAGTCGTATAACAGTCTAGCACATACAATGACAGCAACTTGCTGCACCCTCGAGGTTTGTATACGGGCACCTATGATGTGCACATGCAGTAATAAAATAGTATGGGGGGCTCCCTGGGCCTCTCCCAGGACTCCCCCACGGGTAACACATGGGAGGCTGTAGGACGGCCACGCAGCCAGGATGTTGACACTGATACGCTCAAGACACAGCTTTCCTGACTTCTGACCATTTGCTTTCCCATTGTGGTAATCATCTAACTTGTGGTTCCTTCGAATCTTTTTTTTTTTAAGAAATTAAGAAAAAAATACCTTTTCACACATATTAAATATGTTTTCCCTGAGGCTTTAATTTGCATTTTGATTTTACCTATAGTCTTCTTGGCTGATTTTTTCAATCTTCTCTTTATGTCTTCCGGGTTTTGCGTCCTGCTTGGAAAAGTCTTATCAACTTTATATATAAATTTACCTTCTGGAATTTACATGATTCCATTTTACACATTTGAATTTTGATCCATTTGAGTATGTTTTCCTGTAGAGAATTAGGTAAGGGTCAAATCTGTTTCTTTTTTCTTCCAGTAGTTCCCAACTGCTTCTATTCCCTTTATTTCAAATATAACTTAAGTCATCATTCAAATTCCTACATATACTTGTGCTTGTTTCTAGATTTGCACTGCTCTCTCTTACCAGGTCTTTTCTAGCACCAAACTGCTAATTATTATAGCTTTGAAGTGTAATATATTCTGCTGTATGGCAGGACCATGTATTTCCCCATTGCTTCTTTCTCTCCTCCCCAAGGATTCTTCTAGCAATTTTCAAATAATTATCCTGTAGCCTAAAAATTTTAGTATCACTTTGTCAAAGAAATATTGTCGATTTTATTATTTGAATTAAATTATTGTTAAATTCATAGATAAATTTGAGGAAAGTCAG